TGTCAGCCTCTCTGATGGGTGTGCTGGCCCATGTGCTGTGTAGAGTGCCAGCCTCTCTGATGGGTGTGCTGGCCCATGTGCTGGGTAGTGTCAGCCTCTCTGATGGGTGTGCTGGCCCATGTGCTGTGTGTAAGAACTTGGAAGCTGAGTTTTCGTTCCTCCCATTTGCTTTTGTAGCTGTTGTATCTTCTGCACCAATTCTGCAAGTGGAGAAAGAACTCGAATGTCCCCTCTCACCTTGGAATTCATTCCATACCTCAGCATTAACTCTTCTGCCCGAGTCACAGAGAGGCTGTTTCTAGGCTGAAAGTGGGACTTTTTCTGAATAATTTTATTCAACTCCTAATTCGGGTTCCTCAGTAAGATGAGAAGGTACCAAGCCTGTCAGTGTGAATAAATCTAGCTCTTTTTTCTCTTAGTAAGGTGGCAAACATAAATCTCTTGTAACCTAGCTTTTTGAATTGATTGGAAGAATGATTTTTGCTTTTAAATTACCTATTCTGATCTACTTTCACATTAGACAGCCAATCAGATTTGAAAATAATGACGGTGTTTTTACAGTAGTGATGTTATGAGTTATCTATCTCAACATTAAAGAAACCGACGTTTGAGAGAAGGATGGCCTAGCGTGTGGCAGGAAGAGGTGGGATTCACAATGTTGTTAAAGTGAAAGGGTAACCTGCTGGCCTCTTTTTCCCACTGTTTTAGGGATCGGTGGCAATTTGGTGGCCATTCAGGCTAGCAGGATTTCTACCTACCTCCATTTACATAGCATCCCTGGAGAACTACCTGAAGAGCCCAGAGGCTGCTCCTACCCATTTAGGACTTTTTTTGGTTCAGGTAAGTGGTGCCTGGAGGTGTGTGGTTTTTTGTTTGTTTCTTTGTTTGTTTTTGAGGAACTGCTGCCCACCGAGACCTAGGATATGCACAATTTGTCGAATCTGTATTTTGTGCATGCTGTGCTGAGCTCATGGTGTCAGGGAACAAAGGCCTTCCATGTCTGTGTCTGTTTGTGTCTTTGCTGAGGTTCTTTGTGACATTTACACTTTCTGTTCCTGTCTCTGGGATATCTTGTTGACTAAGAAAGAGGAACCGCATGTACAAACACAGAAGGCTCCCTTGACTTAGGAACAGACAAACTGCACCTTGACTTAGGGACAGATGGACCTTTCTCCTGTATCACTCCTGTTGACCCTTTAAAATGTGGGTATTTGCTCTGAAACAGGAAGTTAGGAGACAACCTAGTGACAGGGAACAGTATGTCACATATGTGAACAGGTGTGACAACCATTATTATAGTGTTAATCACTGTTTATTATTTTATACATATGGCTGTTCATCTACAAGTGTGTCTGTGTACCATTTGCATGCCTGGTGCTCTCAGGCTGGAGGAGGGCATTAGATCTCCCTGGAACTGGAGTGATAGAAGGTTGTGAGCTACCACATGGGTCCTGGGAATTAAACCCTGGTCCTCTAGAAGAGCAGTCAGTGCTGTTACCACTGAGCCCCGGCCCCTCCTGTGACATCAGTGATGGAACAGTCAAAGAAGACATAAAATTAACATTCCAATGTTTGTGTTTTCCTTCTGTTTCTATGATAGATACTAATGTCCTCCAAAATACATTTTTCCTCACCCATCTCTTACTTTATTTTATAATTCTACCTAATGGGGGAATTTCCAAGAATTAACTGAGATTGAGTCTTGGCAGTTGAATTGATGGACGCTGTGAGCTGTAGTATTGAGAACGTAACCATCAACTTGTGCTTTTGTTTTTCTGAGACAGTGAGGGACTCACTGTTTGGCTTGGGCTGGCCTTGAACCCCAGGTGCTCCTTCCTGCCTCTGCTTCCGTTGACGTCCAAGGTCGTCTTCCAATGTGGTAACTTGGATTACAGCACCCAGTTTATAGGTTCACTTTATTTTTCTACCAACACTGGGGCTTTTGAGTCCTGTGAGTGCTGGACAGGCAAGCAGCCTTGCACTTCAAATGTGATTTAAATGCCGTATGCCTTCCTGTTACAGGAGTGAACAATAAGTCTGCCCAGGTTCTCATGCTCTTCGTGGTCCCGGGCCACTTGATCTTCCTGTACACAATTCACCTGATGAAGAGCGGCCACACCTCTCTGACTGTGGTCTTTGTTGTCGTGTATCTGCTTGCTGCTGTGCTGCAGGTAAGATGGACAGCCTCTGAAGATCTTCTGCGCTTGCTTAGACTACAGAGAAACTGTCTTGATGGCTATCTACAGTACACAGTATAGTTACCGTTTCAGAAATAGACAGCTACAACCTGGTACACATAACCCTTGGGCTGCCTGGTACATCCTGGTACATATAACCCTTGGGCTGCCTGGTACATCCTGGTACACATAATACTTGGGCTGCCTGGTACAGCCTGGTACATATAACACTTGGGCTGCCTGGTACAGCCTGGTACATATAACACTTGGGCTGCCTGGTACAGCCTGGTACACAGAACCCTTGGACTGCCTGGTATAGCCTGGTACACATAACCCTTGGGTTGCCCGGTACAGCCCGGTACCTAGAACCTTTGGGTTTTCTAGGTTTTACAGCATCCTTTGTTGGTTATGCTATTTTGTATGACACACCTTCCAATAGATTATTGAAGCAAGGAAAGGAAGTACATTTTTGGGTGGTGCCTGGTGTTTTACCCCACCTTCTGTGTTAACAGGCTGACTGATCCTTTTCTTTTGGAATTCTGAAGGCAGCCTGCCTTATTGCTCTCTAGCTACTCAGGGTGCCAGTGAGAACAGGCGTCATCTGACTCCTGAGTCTCTTGTAAGAACTTGGTTTTTTACCTTTATGTTCATCTGTGTCTATGAACAAGTGCAGGTGCATGGATGTTACTGCATGTGTAGGGAGGTTAGAGGACAACTTTGAATGTTGAGGCTCGCCTTCCACCCAGTCTGAGACAGTGTCATGTATCAGACTAGCTGTCCTATGAGCCTCTAGTGATTCTCCAGGCTCTGACTCCCATCCTGATGTGGAAGTGCTGGGATCCAGATGTGCCCTCTGCACCTGGCTTTCGGAGGGTCCTGGAGGCACAAACCCACGTCCTCACACGCGTGGGACAAGCACTTTACCTACATGGCTGTGTCTTTCACTGCATGTGACTTGTGCTTTAATTTCCCGGCAGCTTTAAGAGCTGTGACTCTTACCTCTCTTCTCTTGTTGGCATGTTGGCAGGTTTTAAATTCTATGCTGATAAACTCTGGGATGGGGATAACTTGTCTCTTGTTTGACTCTCTCAGTTCAAGAGCTCACGTTCTTCAGTTCTGGGGAAATATGTCTTTAAATATTATTTTTTGATGAAATTTCTTTTCTTGATATGTAACCTAAGCTGGAATCAAAACTCAAATGGAACCCAGGCTGGCCTCAAACTCAAATGGAACCCAGGCTGACCTCAAACTAGTGATCTGCTGGCCTTTGCCTATGAGTGCTGGGTTACAGTAGTGTTCACCGTGTTTGGCTCTTCATGGATCTTGTTTGCTTACTGGACTTGCATCAAACTTACTTTTAGACATTTTCTGTTTCATTATCTGTTTTCTTTTCAGATGTCTACTCCTCTGTGTTGGTGGAAGGTTTTACATTTTAAACTTTAGAAATTTTCTCTATGTAAGCAAACCCTTACCTATGCTCTGGTGAACAACTCTAATGTAACTCATTGGGTCTCACAGACAGACAGACAGACAGACAAGCACACAAACACAGACTCAAGAGATGAAAGCAGAAGGGTTCTGGTTTGAGAGAGGAAGGAATTTGGAGAGGGTAGTAAATGGGATGTTTGTGTGAATAAAAATATTTTATGTATATGGATGAAAATAATCATAATGTAAGCCATTATTATGTATAATTAAATATACCAACAAAAACATTTAAAAGCGTGCTGCTGTAATAAATGTACACATTTTAAATATTAAATAGTACCAAAAGGTTCTACATCCCTAGATCTATTTCTCAGATACTATCATTTTGAAATACCTTAGCTATTTTTCTGCCATTATTGGTAAGTTTTAAAGTAATACGCATAAACTTCAAGTTTATGATTAATTCCATTTTGACTTTGGCTAAAAAATAAATAAATAATAATTGGGGGCTTTTGAGCTGTTACAAGGTCTTATATTTCCCACATACTTATACCACAACTTAAAAAATAAAATTGTTAAAGTTGGATGGTGGTGGCACGCATCTGTGAGCCCAGCTGTCTGGAGGCAGAGGCAAGTGATCTCTGAGTTTGAGTCCAGCCTGATCTACAGAGCAAGTTCTAGGACAGCCAGGGCTACACGGATAAACACTATCTCGAATGAATGAATGAATGAATGAATGAATGAATGAACAAAAGAAAGAGACGGGGGAGGGAGGGAGGAAAGGAGGGAGGGAGAAAGGAAGGAAGGAAGGAAGGGAAAAAAAGAGAAAAAGGATTATCAGTATGTAATTAAGCCTTCTTTAATGTTTTCACTGAGGCAGATGGCTTGCTCTCACTCTATTTCTTTGTTTGTGTATTATTTTCCTAGGCATTAGTAATGGTTTCCTTTTTCACTTGGGTCTCTTCCCATAAGTCTTAGTGTTTCAGCTGCCCCAGCTTCTCAGGACTGACTTCTTGTTTAACCTTAAGGACTGGGTGCCCCCTACAGTGAGGCATGCTGCTGTCTTGAGAAGAAGATTAAAAGGATGCCTGAGGAGGTGCTTGCAGATGGCCTTCAGGAGACTTGCCCTGGAGGAAGCAGGCTAGGGAAGGTAGACAGAGAGGATTCCAGTCAGAAGAAGCCACTTTGATAGGAGCCATGTTGATGAAGCCCCCAGTGAAGTGGGCTTGGAGCTGCTGCTGCGAGCCTATCACCACACTGCACCCACGCACCAGTGCTCTGTATTCTCAGCATACGGGAGATGCAGACAGGCCTTAAATGCCAAGTCAGGAGAGGGTAGAGTAGATTCTAAAATAACCCAATCCTTCCAGCCTGACTGAGACTTTTACAACATCTCTATACTGCTTTCTAGTCTTATGATTTTATTAAGCCACTATTAATTTTTTAACATTTTATTTACTCAACAAATCTCCCCCTTTGATTTGCTGCAGAGGTTGCCTTTAAGTCCCCAGAGCACATTTGAAGGACTTGTGGTCTGATGCTCCCTGAACACACCAGTATGCTGTAGTATAAACACTGGTTGTGAGAGGTTTTCGGGGATGATGAAGCAGCCACTTGCCCAGGGAGCCATCTTTCTCCCTGCTGGTAAACAGGGCGCTCACTCCCAATGCTTTTGTTGCCTTGAGCTTGCATTACCCATGAGCCAGAAGAGATAGTTGTTATTGTCGCCTGTGTTTGCTGCTCTCCTCAGTGCAGAGGGAAGCACACAGACAGGTCTGCTCTGGCCAGCCATTCCTAGAGTAGGTTCCTGTGTGTGCTCCCCATGGAGCTCATGAATGCACTGCCTGTGTCTGTGTCTGTATACCCCACTGCCATGCATTCTTCCTGTAAGTTGACAAAAATAGTAATTTTTCCAAGGTTATAAAACATTTCATTTTTTTAAATAAAGACTTCATTTAAATCGTGTGTGTATGTGTGTGTGTGTGTGTGTGTGTGTGTGTGTGTGTGTATTGTGTGTCACTGCAGAGGCCTGAGGCGGTGGATCCCTTGGAGCTCCAGTTATAGGCTGTTGTAAGCTGCCTGATGTAGATGCTGAGACTTGAACTCAAGTCCTTCTGAAAGAGAAATAGACTCTCTTAACTTCCAGACCCAGATTTCATTCCTGGAGTATGCTTACATGCCCTACCCCCTTTCTGAGACAGGGTCTATTAAGTAGCCCTGGCTATCCTGGAACATATAGTGTAGAGCAGGATAGCCTCAAATTCACCTTCCTCTGTCTCCTGAGTGCCGAATTAAAGGTGGGTGTCACCACATGCAGCCTCTCATGCCTTTGGCTGAAATCCTTACCTGCAAAGCTGGAGTTGAGGAACCAGTACTTGCTCATTTATTGTCTCAAAACCATTTTCCTTCTGAGAAGTGGAAGGATAGTGGCAGTCATTTTGTTTTGAAGAATGAATGAGTTATCAGGGTAGTTTACTGCACGGTGGATGCTACCCCAGACTTAGCTTATTGTTACCTTTATTAAATAAAGGATAGAGATGGTATGCCCTGGAATGATTTTGTCTTTTGTGTATGTGCATGCATGTGCACCTGTGTGTGTACTGTGTGTACATGTATTATGTGCATGCATGTGCACCTGTGTGTGGTATGTATGCATTTATATGCCAGCCAGAGGTTGATGTTTGATCTGTTCCTATCAGTCTTCAGTTTTTGAGACAGGGCATCTAAGTGACCCTGGGCTTCACTGGATAGACTAGACTAGCTGGCCAGCAAGCACCATGGGTCCCTGTCTTCATGTTCCCAGTGTAGGGTTGCAGGCACACACTGCTGTGCTCAACTATGGATAACTGTTCTGAGGACTTTCCTCTGAGGATTCGAACCCAGGTGCTCTTGTTTGCACTAAAGACACTTACTGACTGAGCCATCTCCCTAGCCCCGTGCTTTCATGGGGGCCAGAGCAACATCTGCAAGATGTTCTGTTGGGTATACCATCAGTCACCCTGCTTTTCAGATTTTTCTTCCACAGTAAAGTTGGTATCAGTCAACTATCCCATAATACTCATTCTGAGACAAGTAGCTGTGGACAGTACAAGCATTGGTTTTTGATTGTCCTATCGCACCTGCAGTTTGAATATCATATACCTAGCGTGTTTCCTCCCACAACTTCAAGAAGATGTGGGTTCTTCTCCATAAGCATCAAGTTCTGCTGCTGTGCCACTGACTGCTCACAGCAGATAGGAAATCAGAAGTGCTGATTGCCATTCCACTCTGCGATGGACCTCGCACTTTTGCCTTCTAAGTCATAAGGAATATGTCCTCTTACGAGGTTGGTTTGTTTTTTTATTTGGTATGTGATACTGTGGTCTTATGACTGTTGGTATGTTGTATGTGTGGTCTTATGGCTGTTGCTATGTGGTA